CCCATTCCCCCACAGTTGGAACCCCGACCCTACGGTCCGTCACACAGTGTGGGGTCTGGTGTTCGGTGCAGGTTTCCAGTGGATGACGACATACGGCTTCAACCAAGCCAGTGTGCAGAGATATTGCAGTTTGTCCACACTCAACAAAGCCCGCGCGTAAGTTTGTCAGAAAAGATAAGATAAGATGAGATATACAATACGATACAATACGATACGATACGATGCGATATGATACGCATGAACCAACCCAGTGTACAGAGATAATGCAGTTTGTTCACACTCAACATAGCACGCACGTAAGTTTTTAAGATCAGATAAGATAAGATGAGATACAATACGATACGATACGGTGCGATACGATATGATACGATGCAATTCGTCACGATACGATACTTTACGATACGGCATGAACCACACCAGTGTACACTGCAGTTTGTCAACGCTCAACAAAGCGCGTTACGATGCGATATGACTCAACACGATACGATACGATACGATACGATACGGCACAGCACGACACGATACGATGAGATACGATAAATTGTTATATGATGCTCTACCATACGTTACGACACGATATAAAAAGATACGGCCGAGGCCGAGCCAGTGCACAGATATACTGCAGTTTGTCTACACTCACCAAAGCGCACGCGTAAGTTTGTTAAATCTGTTATATATTTGGCAACTTGGAAACACATGTGTCACTTTTCCGATAAAACTACGACCGCTAGGAAGTTGAAAGTTGGCACGGCAAGTATCTACAAAAAAAATAGATAGGTCCCCAAGACGGAGCCCGATTTTTGATTTATTCATTTCCCGAATTTGTAAAAATATATTTGACAAAAAGTACTGCTCATTCTTTGGCCTTTGCGATTATTCCACTGAGAAACGAAACAAATCTGCGTAGCTGTCCTTCACAGCGGAAGTGCCGGAAATGATATTTCGCGAGGCGCATTTTGTTTTGAGAGTATAATCTAGACCTAGGTTTTTTTTACATGTCTCAAGATGTATTGCTCCATTCCAGTAGAGTGTTTACATAGTAGGCCAATGACTTTCAGTTGATGTTAAGGAACTGATCATTCCTTTCATCGAAAGGGGGCCCAGCTAGTAATATTATAATATAAGATGAGATGAAGTGGATTGAAATGAGATGAGATGAGATACGATACAACAAGATAAGATTCATTGAGATAAGATAGCATAAGATACAATAACATAAAATACAATAAGATAAGATATGATCAGATCAGATTATGTAGCATGAATTAAGCCAGTGTGCAAAAATACTGCAGTTTGTCCACACTCAACAAAGCACGCTCGTAAGTTTGTTATAAGATAAGATAAGATAAGATAAGATAAGATAAGGTAAGATAAGATAAGATAAGATAAGATAAGATAAGATAAGATAAGATAAGATAAGATAAAATAAGATAAGATAAGATAAGATAAGGTCGTAATCAAGCCGGCGTATAACGATATCGCAGCCTTCCCAAACCCTGCTGCATTTTCTGGTCCTCAATGTATTTATGAAAAACATGCTTTTACATCATAAAAAATTAGATAGCTTTATAACTCTGTGAGATATGATTAAATAAAATCTTAGTTTAGTTGTGGAAACAAGGTTTTGAGGAATATGGCATTACATATTCCCTCATATTTGAATCGAATTCTTACCCAAATATTTTCCCCATTACAGGTTCATCTTCCTCAACATTATAAGTTTTTCCATTCTGTTGTGTCCATGTGCTTCTCTATGCTAAAATGTATAAGTAAATTAGAACATTATAATAAAAACAACCCCCAAAAAACCAAACTCTTCACCTTCTGAATATTTTTTTTTATAACAGAAAGAAAAATAATAACAAATTAAAATCAAACTTAACGTCTGTTTTGTAATACTACAGTTCCATCTTCCTTAAAAGTGTGGGTATGTCCATTTTATTGTGTCCATGTTCCTCTCTATGCTAAAAAAGAGTAAATTGGAACAAAATATAAAAAAATAAAAAACAACAGAAAAAACAATAAGGATAAAATATAACAAAACAAACTTTTTTGCAGTGCTACAGTTCCATCTTCCTCAACATTGTGGGTATGTCCATTCTATTGTGTCCATGTTCCTCTCTATGCTAAAAAAAAAGAGTAAATTAGAACAAAATGATAAAACCAAACGAAAACACCC